ATGGAAGGCGATGACATATGTTGTGTTCAGCGAAGTGCTGATGTGTCTACAATCCTTTTTTAATAACATAAAATATTATTCCAGTTTTGAATTCAGTATAACTTCTAATAAACAAGAATTTTGTCAGAGCACTCATATATTTCTAGGGAAAAACAAAGGATTATTAGAGAGAACAATGTGAATTCAGAGAAGTAAAGAAATATAATTCTGTGGCACTTATTTTTCACCCCTACCAGCGGAAAAATATTGTTTACGACACTTTGTCCAGCATCAATAACGAATTAGCCAAAGAAAAAATAAAGAGTAGATGCAATAAATGGATAAATATAAGAACTTTAGTCCACAAATCATATCAACCGTGGAGGTCGGCTTCACATGTAGATCTTCTCTGTACATTATTACTGTGTGTCCAGGTTTGCATACATATTTATTTTAATCGAAGATGGTGCGGTTGAATCAAGAATGTATTTTTCTTTAGCTGAGATCAAAGCTAGAATGGTAGAATCAACATCGGTCTTGCTGACAAATAGAGTGTATTGAACAAAATTCATTTAAATTCGATAGGAAAAAGTTGGGTTGTATCGTACAAACGTGTCATTTGAACTTCTAACGCAGCTTTAACAATTTCTCAGTCATATTGCTACTATGTCAACAGTGTGACAGTTTATAGTGATGTCTAGCACTAGGGGTAACATGCCACAGACTTGGCTTATGTATGCTAGTGAGAAATATTGCAAACCTAAAATGTTTAAGGGATGATTATGACCGTTCCAATTACTGATCTTGTCAGTGAACTTTAAACATGCATAATCTTTATACTGATTAGTTGAGCCGCCATGTCATATGAAAATATATTTAATAGCCCTTTTCTGTCAAAATGAAAACTTAATACAGGGGTTGTGGGTAGTTTTGGTTCAACATAAAAACCATCAGTTGTGCAAGGAATTACCATTACACCTTAATTAAAATCTGAACAAGAATGCTTTTAACATAGAAAATATTCTCATTTTTTCTGCAATCTGTACGAGTCTGATAAAAAGTGACCAAAATACCAGGCCAGCGAGACCTAAATTGCATAATTGTATGCGACAGTGTACATATTAATGATGATTCTGAACACAACCATTCTACGACACCATATACCACACAACAGTGGTAACAACAGTGAGCATGATCTTGTTCTGATCTGTTCCGTTTCGTTTCGCTTTTTATTTCATAGGAAAAAATTAAATTGATTATGATACAGATTGTAACCATGTTTAAGATGATTTTGTGGTAACATCTGTACTTAACACGCCTTGATTTGTAATGTATTGCACAAATCGATTTCGTATACGCAATTCATATAACGTCCAAAATCTTTGACTTGAATTTGAAAATTTATTAAACATTTACAACAAATCAAAGAAATAAAAGGAGATATGTCACTTATGACCAGGACACTAACTATAAAAAGAATGATGGGACTAAAGTTATACAAGGCAAAAATAATTAATAGGAATTTTAATTAAAACCATTGTTCCTTTTTAATAGTCGAGCGTTGAAGCCATCTCTGATAACATTGGCAAGATTTTCAGATTAACTGCTGTGGTACACATAATGGATGTCAGATTGGCATCATTTTCATTAAGGACATCATTAGAAGTCTGTTGATGAAATTAAATGTCATAATGATTATCCATTTAGAAGTCTGTTGGTGAAATTAAATGTCATAATGATTATCCATTTTGGAGAGCAGTGACAACATTTTTAGATAGCCATCATGAAGGTGTTACTTATCACAAGAAATCTAATGCTGAAAACAACTAGTTGAAATAACCATTCATTTGGAGGGAAGTAGAAATAACAATATCTCAAGATAAGACGCTCCATTTAGCAGCAGCAAAAAAAACCAAGATTTTTTAGATGTCTGCAGTGGCAACCGTACTGAATGTCAAATCAGCGCCATTTTTACATACGGCTTAATGGACGCCATAAGAAGGCTTCTGGTGAACATCTCATGTTAATATGATTACAAGTACAAGGAATGGAGAGAGGTATAAAAATCTGGGACAGAAGTAGGAAATCCAGGTCCAAATTTTGCATCCAAACATCTTAGGTGTGTGAATTCATAGCTCTCCATTAGCACTATATTCATGCGAGTTTAAGAAGTTATCATGAAAACACGTCTCTACTGAACAAAGTACTTTGACATCTCAGAATTCAAAAGTGGTCCACTTTAGAAATTGTAATGTGTATTAGAGAATATATACTTCCTATAATAAAACGAATGGTGGATACCTGATGTCAGATTGAAGAAGTCAGCTTATTTTTAAGTTCCGGTCCTATGCGACTTAAAAGCGGAAGGATAAGGTGTGAAGCAAGCACCAGAATTAGACTTGGAGGAAGTGCCGTTCTGCCAGCTGACGAGAGCTGGCTGAGCCTTGTATACTGTTCAAACCAAGCATACAAAGATCAGGGAAATTGCTTATTTACATTTTGCAAAACAATTACTGTTAAAAAATGAAAATGTTCATTCCTAGTGTCCTTAAGGGTGGATAAAAGGCAGAGCAAATGGTGTAACCGATGTAGACATATACAGGGGGTCCTTATTGAGAGACCATCCATGTTATATGGAAGCCAACCGCAGAAACCAAAATAAAATAATGCCATATATTTCACTTGTATTGTGTGACTGTGCTCGTCCATATCTGAGTACGAATTTTGGCCTACCTGACTAATGTTTGTTTTCTGTAAACAACATATTACATAGCTAATCGTTGTCTATGTACGCATATTATATTTACAGATTGTTATGTCTGCAGTGTGGCAGTTTATAGTGATGTAAGAGGCATCATGCTGCAGAGATGTAGCAACATGTCCCATCAAGTCACATTATTCTGAAACGAGGCCAACCAGACCTAATAATAACCTCTTAATGCTGATAGCTAGACGAGACAGCTGCTAGTACTATTTTGTTTTATAATTATATGGTATGACTCGGCCAGGGTTCGAACCTGCGACCTCTTACATCAGAAGTGGATGTTCAAACTACTTAGGCCATTGGAGCTCTCACGAACCATTTAGTAGAATAATGGTAGACTGTCGGTCTCTCACCTAAGATCAAGAGAGGCATAATGTGTGTCCACCAGATTTACATAAACAATTCCTTTGAAGAATATATAGCAAAAACCATAGCAAAAGCTTTGATAGTTTTTTTTTTATTTTGCATTTCGTGATATTTTCTTATCTGTCCAATCTGATCAGGGGTCCAATTTTTCGTCTGGAAGTTTCCAGTAAGTTATGTATTTAGGTACCCAACAGTTTAAATTTTCTATCACCCTCAACATCAAAGGGTTTTGGAACGATTTAACCATATTTTGAATAATATGATTCGGTCATATTGCTTCGATACACCTCAAGATTGGGACCTGGGGTTCATTTGTTGACGTTGGCTGTTAGGAAATCAGTTCAATAATCATTAGGTATTATTCCTTTTGAACTAGTTTTGAGCCTACTGTCTGTGGACCACTTAAGTTATTTGAAGATGAACTACTTTCCACCAAAGATTTAGAAATTAATCTTGTCTACTTTAAAATATAAGTTGTCAGATGCTTGTTAAGTAGCAATAACTAATCACTTCACTCAGTTAAAAATGAAATTAAAGTATGACAGAAATACAAAGGAAAAGAGTTTTCAACTTGGTGATAGAGTTCTGGCTCTCTTTCCCATACCTCAAAATCCTTTCAGGCTAAGTAGAAGACTTCAATTAAGGAGACTTAAACACTAATACTCCTCAGAAGTGAAAACAGAAAACAGCTTTGCAATGCCAATTAATATGTTGAAAGAAATAGTTATGTTAATCATTCAGGCAGTTTAGTCCCACAATGTGAGGATTTAAACAATGACATGCAATCCGTTTGTAGTGACTTTGGTTTATTAAGTCATGTAATTCAGAAATACTGAATAATCTGGACCAGAAACTTTAACATCTGTAGCCACAATAAAAGAGTGAAATAAAACATTTATTATTTGAATAAAAACACTTGTTGCCTGGTGTTCAGACATGAACAACTAAAATCGACTATTATATTAAAATTGTAGATTCTACACCTGTGAAACAGCTGCAATACAGGATTAATCGTCTGAAACAGAAATGTTTGGAAAAAATTCAATACTTTCATTGAATTCAAGTAAAAGCAATACGAGTTAACCATGTATTCTTGTGCCTAAGCAGCTTCATTTCCAATGCCAAGAATATATGACTGCATTGACAAAATGGAAACAAAATGTGTCACCAAGTTAGACATTTACAAAGGATTGTGGCAAATTCCACTTACAGATAGATCGAAGAAAACTTTTGCATTCATACTTTCTTTTCATTATAAAATTATACGATTTGGTATGAATGGTTGTCCTTCAACTTTCTAGTGTTTAATGAACAGAATTACATCTAATCTAGATAATTGTGATGCTTGCATCAGTGATGTAATGATTTACAATGGCACCTAGAAACGGCACTTAGAAACAAATCAGAAATTCTTTGATTTACTCAGTGATGTGAATTTGACAATTAATTGAAGTATATGTTGCCAGGCATGTTTTGCATGTTTACAAATTCTGTGGAATTCGGTCAAGTTAATCATATATAAAGTTAAGGTGAAGGCTATCTCTGAATGCCCAGTGCCAATGTGAAAAAAAGCAACTGATGTAATTTTTCAGTTTGGCTAGATATTATCATAAATCTGATTCTAATTCTTCATAATTGCTGAATCCTAGCATGTGAGTGTGTTTTGGATTTATAATGTAGTTTTAAAATTTTTTCAGTCATATCACTACCAAATCCGTAGTGTAACATTTTAAGGTGATGTCTAGCACTGGGGCATCATGCCATAGACAAAGCATGATGTACCACCCAGTCACATTACCATGACACTAGGCCAACCAGTTATAACACTAACCTCTTGACGCTGAGCATCAAGTGAGGCAGCTGCTAGTACCATTTTTATAAGTCTTTGATATGCCTCAGCTGGGGTTTGAACCCATGACCTCCCACATCTGAGGTAGATGCTTGAACCACTAGGTCACTCAAGCAATGATTCACATAGCAATTTGTTGAGTAAGAAAGCAAAGTTTCATTGATTTGTATAATGTCAGGAAGCTTTTGATTAATTAAAGACAATACAAGTGCATTGGTTCTTTCAGCCCCAGATTTCAATCAATCCTTTAAAATATCTGTTGATGCAAGTGATGTAGAAATTGGAGGAGTATTAATTCAAAAAGACAAGAATGGTGTGATTCATCCAGTGTGTTATTTTTCCAAAATATTAACAAGAAACTGAGAAATTATTCCACAACTCAGAATGAATATCTGGCTGTGATACAGGCTTTGCAACATTTTGAAGTGTATATTCATTCAACTCCTTCTTCAATTATTTTATTATTTTGTTCAGTGACTACAACTCCCTTTCATTAACAAACTGAAAAACGAAAATTAGAGATTATTAAGGTAGGGTTTGAATTTGGAATAATACTAGATTGACATTAGGCACATCAAGGGAAATCAGCATCTGACTGCTTTCATATTTTATTATTATTATGACTTTATTTAAAAAGGGTAACTCAATTAGCTAAGAACTAATCTACCTTGAGGCCCACATTCAAAGGAATTTATTTATTTTTGCTGCATCTCTGAAGCCATTGTATATACTGGGTTTGGAAAGAGGAAATAGAGTGGGCATTTCTAATCTCAACTGGAATATTATTCCATAGCAAAGTTCCAGAGTATTGGAAACTTTTTTTAAAATAATTCCTTATTTGGTTTGGGAGTTTTGTAATGTTTGGTAGACATTGATCGCAGGTGGAGAGTATTTCCAGGTAGCCTATACTTGAATAGTGATTGTAAATATTCAGGAGCACTATTATTGGCTATCCTGTACGTTAATTTGGCTTTTCTTAAACAGATTCAGTCTTTAATAGGCAGTATTTTTAACTTACCAGCTAAATTTTCCATGCTTTCTTTCTGGATTGATATTAACTCAAAAGCTCTATTTTGAAGATGTGCCAGCTTTGCTAAGTTTTTATCATTTGAATTACCTCATACTGTATTACAGTAGTCTAAATAGGGTTGTATGTAACTGTTATCAAATTGTTTTCTGTACTTTTCTGGGAGAAAGTGTCTTATCCTACTGAGAAGCCATAAACTTGAATTGACTTTTTTACTGATATGTTTGATATGTTCAGTCCATGATAGATTATTATCTACCAAAACACCAAGTAGACTATCATGACAGACCATTTGCAACCTTTTATCCTTCCATGTCAGGCATAGTTCATCGCTATCAGGGTTTTTTTTTTTTCCGTGTTGAGATAAGTAATATTTTAGTTTTACCAGTATTAACCACCATACCATTGCATGTGCACCAGTATTCTAGTTTGTTTAGGGCATTTTGTAAAGAAATTTTGAGTTCTTGTTTTGTGTTTTGGATGTCTGACAATGTTGTGTCATCTGCATAGAGATCTGTAGATGATACTGAGTCCTTTAATACAAGTGGTAGGTCATTAATAAATAAAATAAACAGTAATGGACCCAGAATTGAGCTTTGTGGTACTCCACATCTAATTGTTTCAGGTTCAGACAGAACATTATTAATATAAACATGTGTTCTCTCACTTAAGTATGAAGTAAACCATCTAACTGTGCTTTCATCACATTGGTAGATTTTCAGTTTCTTCAAAAGGATTTCATGATCTACCATGTCAAAAGCTTTCATGAAATCTTCAAATACAGAACCTATTATTCTACCTTGATCAAGTGCTTTAAGCCATTTATCAGTTAGGGAGCTCAAGGAAGTCTCACATGAGTGTTTTTGTCTAAAGCCTGGTTGATTAGGGTATAACAGAAAGTGTTTGGTTAAATATGATATGAATGAATCATGGACATGCTTTTCAATCAATTTTAACAAGTTTGGTAGTATTGAGATTGGCCGGTAGTTATCAGCATCATCCTTAGGACCAGATTTGTGAATAGGAGTTACTTTTGCAGTTTTCCATATTTTGGGGACAGATGAGGATGCAATACTTAAATTGATTATGAATGTTATGCTATCTACAATAGCAGAGGCAAAAGATTTAATGAGTCGTGGACCAATCTGATCAAGTCCTGTAGCTTTCTTAGTATCAAGTTCACTGAGATATTTCTTAACAAAGTTTTTTGATACTGGTGGGACAGAGAAACATACATCCTTAGAGATTTTGCTGCTGCAGAACTTTTTCAGTTCAATAAAGTTGTTTTCAATCACTGGTTCTTTTAACTTTGTGGTAATGTTGGTGAAAAAATCATTGAAAACATTTGCAATGTCATTGTCATCAGTGACTATGGTGTCATTTACCAGAAGTGAGTGGATTTTATTTATCTGATCTTTGTGTGTTCCTCCAGTGAGTTCATTGAAGACTTTCCAAATGCAGTTATTGTCACTCTTTTTGTTTTCAAGCAATGATTGATAATACTTTTGTTTAGCTTTTTTGATCATATTTGTTATTTTATTTCTCCATGCTTTATATTGTGCATGGTTTCCCATAGCCTTAAATTGGTCTCTTGTTTTCATAGCATCAAGGATTTCAGTTGTAAGCCAATTAGGTTGGATTTCATTCTTTACTTGTACTTTCAGTGGTGCATGCTTAGAGACTACATCCATAAATAAGTCAGTCCACACCCTCAGAGCTTCATCTATGTCATCCAAATTTTGGATCATCTTCCATGGAGTTTTATATAGGTCTTTGAGAAATTGTTCTTTATTAAAATTTTTGAATGATCTGTAAGTGATAGTTTTGTGCGTATTTTTCTTAATTCTCTTGCATTTAACCTTCCTTGTCAAAAAAGTAGGATAGTGGTCACTAAGACCAACTTTTGGTATGTTACAGATGTTACATTGTCTGGTAGGTTGGTATAAATGTGATCAATAAGAGTGCTTGATGTTTCTGTTACCCTAGTGGGGTCATTTACCATCTGTACTAGACCTAATGATTCAATAAGGCACTATATTGCATTGGTATATTTTGCATCCTTCATATGACATCAATGCAATTTTATTCATGTATATTTCATCAATATGTAAAAGAAAGCTTTATTATATAAATCTTATCTTTTCTTGATGATGGAAAGTACTAGGTATATTCAATTTGTATTGTGTGATTCACTTTTATCCATAACTGAGGATAGGAGTTTGGGTCTACCTGACTAATGTCTATTTATGTGCACAACATAATATACTGCTAATCTTTGCACATTAATGTAGATTATATTTTAAGATTATTATTAAATTTGAGTTTAGGACATTGGTTTCTCTTCAGGAATTCTTGGTGTACCCAATACTTGCCATATTCTTAACTAAATTTACACCTGACTTTGTTGACAACTTAGAATGTTCTAGAAATGAACTTTAGACCTTCATTCTCTTATTGTGACTTAATATGCTTTATATATGAAAAAAGTAAAATAAATTCTTTATTATTACTTTAACATCTGTGTAGATGAATCAGTCTTTTAGTCATGTTCATTTCTAATTCGAGAGGATTTATTATTTAAATCATTCATATAATGTGCTTACTGATACTTTTCAAGACTACATCACTATTTTGAGATTATTTTGAATTCATTCAAGAAAACAATTGGATTATATCACTGATATATCAAGTCTATATCAATATTATTCCAGGCTATTATTACGTCAGTACATTCAAGATTGGAATTCATTTAGAACACCACTGGAATTAATTCAAAACACTCTGTTAAAACTTTAGGCTTATGATAGAACTTTTAGGACAATCTGGCAATTAATTCACAATACTATAGGTTCTTTTTAAATTTTCTCTTTTATCCAGGGGGAAATAATTTGTTGAATTTGATTAACTTGTTGGCTTTTGCTCCTGTGTGTTACATAATTTAAAACCATATCGTCATAACACTATTCTGTCCCCCTCATGGGAGACTTTTCTTTTCATAATGTCACATTTAACCACATAATGGTAGATTTATAAGATGGGAATCCCTGTACTGCAGATTATGATCATCATGCCCTGCAAACACTTCCCAGTTTGCAAAGCATTGAACATGTGATCCAAGATAACAATCTCTGTCCCAAGAATATTGCTTGATGCAATGAAAATTTTAAGAACATTTAAACTTGCTTTATGAGTCCAACTGATTTGGTTATTTCTTTGCAACCATTGAGAATGAATTTTGAAATTATCAGCTATCTAGTTCTGTGAATAAATAAAAACACCATCAGATATATCAATACATTCATATACAAATGAGAAGACTGTTATTAATCAATCCCACCATATTGATATTTTAAAAAGTTCAAGTGAGGTACTACATTTTACTACACAACTCCAAATTGGTGAGTATAAAAAGATAAACTATTTATATGTGTATCTGTAAAAATTATCTTCATCAGTTGTCAGGGGAGACAGTTTGATCCATTTGGGGGAGTCTCTTACCCACACAAATGGTTGAAATATACCCTGAACTACCTCTTTTTTGTAACAAAAGCTGTACTTAATATAAGTTTCAGTTTCAGTTGTTGTTGTTGGGCTTAACGCCATTTTTCAGCACACGATAGGCTATTCATGGCAGCCAGCTATTCATGGCGGCCAGTATTAATGGTGAAGGAAGAAACCAGGAGATCACTGGAAAGAACCACTGACCCACGAGAAGCTACTGGAAGCTTTCTCACATATCCACATTCGCCGAATCCTAGACTTGAACCCATGCAGACAGAGGTGAGATGGCAGTGATCTGAAATGGACAGCGCTTTACACCATTCAGCCACTCGGGGCCCCACTCAGTTTCAGTTGTAATGGAACTCTAAATGCTCATACAGAGTTCTACTAGTCCAACAGCAACACATTTTCAAGCCTATGGCAAAAGTAAATGTAAACCAAATTACAGATTTAGCTTCTGAGTGAATTTACAAACACTAAGTTCATGCTAATTAGACCTATTTTTTCTAACATTTTATTAGGGTCGTGTTGAACATTGGAGACCTGAGCAATTCAGAATCTGTTTCAATACTATACTATAGGCAATTATAAATAAATTTCAACAACAAAATGTGTAAAATTCAGAATGGTTTATTTATTATGATTTATTTCATTTGTTAAAGGCTGAGAAATCATCAAATGCACTAACAACTTTGAGATATCTTTATACTTCATGTTTTACTTTTGCCACATAAATTTACCTTATAACATGTCAATTTCATCATTTTCCTACAATAACCTTATAACAAGTCATTTTCATCGTTTTTCTAAAATTACCTTTTATCATGTCATTTTCATCATTTTTCATTGTTAATAAACCATTTACTGTTAGTGCTTAGTCTTATCAGTGATGAGTAATGACACAAGTATTAGTACTCATGAAATCTCAATATGTAGTGAACAAAAGATGTAAAAAAAGTCAAGCTAATCCTCCCAAAAAGTAACTGCAAAATGTGCATGCTAAATGCTTACAAAGTATAAACTTTGCACAGCGCATAAAAACTGACTAGCACTCTCTCACTCATTTTATGAAGGTCAAATTTATCCTAATACAGAGAAATCTGAGGCAGAGTAAAGGGAACTAACTCCTTATGAAACCCAGACTATATGGATCAATGTTTATAAAATGAACCTGATCATTAGTGAAATTTAAACAATGAAATTTTAACCCCAGACTTCTGACACTTCCTGATAAGATAGACATTATTTATGGAAAATCTGTTTAAATAACATTAAGAATAACACATGTGGTTCATTTCACACTGTTCAGCATATATTGTTGCTGAAGCTGTTATTTAGAGAAGTTAGTTTTGTTAGTGACTTTAGCTACAATAAAAGCAAAAACAAAATAATGTAAAAGATATATGGGAAAGGGAAAAACAATATATACATGGAAATCACTTTCAAAAAATTCACCAAAATGCCAACGAGGCTGATATGGATACTTCTGTTCCTGCGAAAGCTCCACAGTAACTGGTGCACTTGACCCTCAAGGAAACCTCTGTCAATGTTCAGGCTAGCAGTATCACTTCAGCTTGTATCCTACACCTTGAGGCCTTCAAGAAGAATGCAAACAGGCATTAGAATACTCAGATAAAAATGTAATTAGTAATTTTAAAAATCTCATATTTGCTTGCAGTTTTTAAATCCCATATGTGTGACATTGCAACAGTTATTGTTTTTGTTGTTGTTCTGGGGGCTTTACGCCATTTTTCAGCACGTGATAGGCTATACATGGTGGCCAGTATTATTGGTGGAGGAAGAAACCAGGAAATCACTGGAAAGAACCACTGACCCATGAGAAGCTAATGGCAAGCTTTTTCACATATCCACATTTGCAGAATCCTGGACTTGAACCCACGCATACAGAGGTGAGATGGCAGTGATCCGTAACGGACAGCGCTTTAGACCACTCTGCCACTTGGGGCCCCCCATTGCAACAGTATGTTATCATTGAGAAACAGCAATCATGATGCACAACAGATTGTACTTTTGTTTGAAATTACCCCAAAATACTATTGACAATGTATTACTTTGCTTCTAGGGTCAGCATACATTGTGCCGATCAAGATCAGGGTGGTCCAGTCTTCAACATGGGACATATGGACCAAAAATGTAAAGTTTGGGCCATACATGATATATAATACAGTAATTATACTATAATTATAGAATGGACTTTTGTATGAGTATGATCCAGGAAAGTAATGACCCATAGATATTTGGCCAGCAGGCCTGTAGTTGGAATTCTTATTTAGACTAATGGTCTAATTATAAGTCAGTATTACTGTGTTTCTACCTGTACTTCAAAAAATATGTTTTTCAGCTGAAATCTTTTGGTCTATGTAACTGAGCCACTAATTTATCTTCACTGGGATCTGGTCTGTGTAAATGAGCCACTCATTCATCTTCACTGTGGTCTAGTCAGTCTACAATTCTGATGGCTAAACACAATAGAATTAATGTTAAATCTCATGATCTGTTTTATGAGCAATTAGACAAAACTGACAAGGCAAGATATGACAGGAAGTCTTGACTATCTTACTATGTCTGATTAAAGACAGAGATTCCCACAACAAGGAAATAACATTTTCACAGTAAATATCAGTTTTCAAGACTGAAAAATGACACCATTTCTTAGTTTCACTGGATGTCATCTTTCTGTGTGGTGAATTTTCATCAAACAATGACATATTGCAGAAATATGAAAATAATTCTATATCAACACTACAAAGATTTCTGTATAAAGCATGCTTGTCAGGTTTTGATTATGGTATTATAGAGAATTTCTTGTACAAATAATAAATACTGAACCAACACTACCAACCACTTATTTTTATACATTAGTATTTTACATTAAAGAGCTGTTTGGAAGATTTTGTTGTAACATGGTGGCACAATCAGTATGGGCCTTGTGCATTAATAATGTTCACTGGTATCATTACATATTTACATATCACTCATCACCCCATTATCCATATAAAATTGGAGATATCTGCATTTGCAGCAGACATACATAAATACATAAACCAATCTGGCTGTTCATTTGCTTTGAAAGTTACACATTTGAACTCCAGTGCTAGTGTAACTGTGTCAGGCAGTCACCTAACAAGCCAACCCAGTCACATAACAAGCCAAACCATATGTACAAGTCTACCTCAAAGCAAATGTAAGCCAAATTATAAGCCTTAAATCCACAAAAAGTATGGTTTGTCAAAATATGAAACTATCCAGTAAGACCTAAAGCAGTTCTTTTAAATGTACTTTCATTAATTTAGTTGTTAACTGTTTGAATCTTACCAAATCCTTGCCTTTGTGCATCATTTCAGCTTATTTGCTGACACATTAAATTAGCTTATTTGCCTCTACAATTGATCAAATTCCAAACACTATTGTGCCCTTAAATAACAATGCTATTAACAAAAACTTATATTTTGTGTTTATAATCAGGGGCTATAGATTCAAACTGAGTATGATATAACCAACCACCCAAACAGTATAAGCCATTTTGACTTTACAAATAAATAAAATTTGTATTTGGCATTTGGGTGTTTTGGGGCTGTTTTATTTTGTTAAGTAGAAGAACACTTAATTGTTGGACTAAAGACTTAGTTTAAAAACTAAATACTTTACTCATCTCATACACTGTTAATTGACTAGAGTAGCCATCATGGATGTAGAACAGCTCACTTCCAGAGTGTAAAACAACAAGATTTGCTTCAGTTTTCTTCCACGAGTACAAGCTAATAAGCATGCACAATACTGCCATCTAGTTAGTTGTTTTGTTCAAATTTAATGTAGAATTATACCTGGCAAATAAAGCAGTTAGGGTAGATACAAGTTCTTAATTATTGGTAGAGCATACATAAAGAAATAGAGATGAACAGTTTTATATCTCTGTAAATATGTATAATTGATCAATTATGAATTTTTCTATGAAGATTATGAATAACCTTATTATTATGATCTTTTCAGATGTTTCTAACAGTATAATAATAATAATAATAATAATAATAATAATAATAATAATAATAATAATAATAATGTGGAATAATAATAATAATAATAATAATAATAATAATAATAATAATAATGTGGATTTATAATAATAATAATAATAATAATAATAATAATAATAATAATAATAATGTGGATTTATAATAATAATAATAATAATAATAATAATAATAATAATAATAATAATAATAATAATAATAATAATAATAATAATAATAATAATAATGTGGATTTATAATAATAATAATAATAATAATAATAATAATAATAATAATATTAATAATAATATAATGTGGATTTAGTACAGCAGCAATATTTAGAACTCTGAGCATGTTATAATATTAGATAACACAAATAAAATGACAAGATCACAAAAGCAAACACCATGAAAGTAAAAAAGAAAAACATGCTGTTAATAAATTAGTAAACCTTTATGTTAGTTCCTTAAGTTAAAAAGGTAAGCATTAAGACAATGTAAGGAATCATAATAAATGTCATATAATTAGCTTATAAAACATTCTATATTAAATGCAACACAGTCCAAAATAACGTATGTGTATCATTACATAAATGTGTTTAGTTTATAGATGAAATTTATTATGCCAACGAGTTGATTAACATTTAAGAATTTACATTTTTTATGATTTAGAAAATCTTTTCACTGTAGTTTCATCTAATTTATTTTAACTTTACCAGTTAAAGCGGTTGGTGTTTTGCATGTTGTAGAAAGAAAACGAAATATGGTGACTTCAGAAGACTGAATAGTACAAGGCGCTTGCCTTTACAAATCTCTTATATCTCACGTATGTGCCCGTGAGTTCGAGTACTGACGTTTAATTTTCTTGAGCAAATATCCGTAGTAAACATGCACCTCGCAAAATATTTAGGCTGCTCCGTCTACAAAAAAAAAAAACAAAACGTTACATGAACCTTGCACTCGCCGTTAACATTTTTTTTTTCCTATTAGAAAAGTCTGATTTGATTGAACAAAGTTTGGTTTAAAATTTGCTTGGTTTAACAAGATTAAAAAATCATCAGCTAGATCGTAGCTGTGACAAGTAAACAAATTCGAATAACCGGATGTGTGGCACCGCAGCCAGACTATGACTTTTACTACGTTTCTGTTACCTGCTAGTTGGGCGAAAATAAGTGTACTTATTGCACATTGAAAATCGTTAACAATATATAGCACTCGTTTCACAAACTCAATGAACCTGAAAACTAGAATTAATTGAGAAATTAGGCTATTATACTTCAAATAAGTATTGATCAAAGAAAATAATTACAAGTCAGATTGGCCGAGTGGTCTAAGGCGCCAGACTCAAGGATTATAATCTATAAAGAGTGATCTGGTCCACAAATGTGGGCGTGGGTTCGAACCCCACATCTGACATCAGTTTTTACTTTTTTCAAATTGGTTTTTCTTCTTTATTTCCTTTTACACATTTTTATCCTTTATCATATAATATTATCTTTTTTTTTTTAATTCCGTACCTCTTTTATCCATTATATTTTATTGTACTCGTGATAGGCTGATGCCTGGGTCGGGAAACCCATCCAAAGGCCATCTTACATCGAAAATATTAGGCTAGCAGAAAAATTAGTAGAAATAAATATGATATACATTAATACAGAAAATCATATAAGCATACGCACACATCTATATAGCACGCACTCTCTTAAATACACGACTTATAAGTATGCAGTTTAAAGCTGATATAGGCTTTTATTAAATTTACAGTACTTTGTTCCATGTTTTCATTGTAACCCACCCAAAAATAACGAAATGCAAGAAGGAAAGAGATTATTACATCTATGAGCATCTCATGCGGCCATTTTGATGGCTCATATTTCTAGGAAATAGAAACATCTTTCAGTATTCGCAACAAGTCTATACAAGCTGGTTGAGACATAATGCATCTATAGGTTTAACTCATGTAAAGATAAGATAAGAATTCTTTATTTCAGACTCCATAGTCCATACATCTAAATTAAAATACTGATATAGAGTAAAACATTGTAAACACAAAAGAACATATATATATATATATATATATATATATATATATATATATATATATATATATATATATATATATATATATATATATACACAAACATATACACATACACACATACATATACACACATACACACATATACACACATACATACATACACAAACACACACACACACACATACATATATATATATATATATATATATATATATATATATATATATATATATATATATATATATATATATATATATATACATACATACATACATATACATACATATACATATACACACATATACACACATGCACACATACATATCATATGTACAAGTATTCAGATACATTTACAACAATTATTTTCACCATGCATTGTTAAAAAATGAAATTTAAGTGACACATTTAAATAGCAATTGGTTCCATCTACTAACAATGTGAGAATTTAAATTAATGTCATATTTCCAAAGTGATTTCAATATACAGTTTTCGCTATTAGAAAGTCTTGTTATCATTGAATATACATACTTTCTCATTACTTCCTCAAAACTTAATACATTATAATTTACAAACATGTTGGAGGCACTGTTCCATCTAGGAAGACCTAATAGAAAGCGAAGACTATTATTATAACCAATTACTAGTTTTCTTTTCACATTTTCACTAAAGTTTGTCCACAGTGGAGCACAATACATAGTGCAGCAATAAGATTTGAATAATCTAATTTTGATACTCAATGAACAAGGCTTAAATTTGCGTAGAAGCATGTTTGTTCGAGTACACAAATATCGATAATGTCTCATCATATCTTCATTATCTGACTGATTGGATTTCAAAATATGGCCCAAATACATATAACTGTCGACATACATAAGAGCGTTGCCGTTAAGATGTACAGAGGAAGGTGATGATAATTTAAAAGAAGTTGGCTGAAAAACCATGCATACTGATTTTTGTGTATTATAGATGATATCATTCTCTAATGCATATTGTTCACATATCTTCAATAATTTTCTTAAACCTGCGACAGACGGACTTATCAGTGACATATCATCAGGAAAGCTAAAATTGTTAAGAAACAGCCCATTTGGTGGCAGACGTAACCCTACGTTGCAATGGCCCAATATACGATTTAAGTCGTCAATGTAAATATTAAATAACATGGGGGAAAGAATACCTCCCTGCCTCACTCCATTGGTTACATGGAAAGCGCTGGATATTACACTTTCCCATCGCTCGTAATACAACTGTTTGCCATACCAGTTGATTAAAGTATGAACAATGTATACAGGAATTTTAATTTCCAGCAACTTTTTAAAGAGTGTCCAATGACTGACTCTATCAAATGCCTTACTAGCGTCTAAAAAAAACCATGCAAATACTGGGCTGCCATGTTCCACATAATAGCTAACGGTTTCCTTAAAGGCATAAAGACATAAATCTGTAGAATGCTGCTTTAAAACTGATTATCGGAGATTAAGACTTCGCATCTTTGTAGTATGATGCATTCGAATAGTTTTGAGATAATAGTCGTAAGAGCTATAGGTCTGTAGTTATTTTTGTCCGCTAGATTACCAATTTTGCTTTTTAGTAGCGGTATAATTGTAACTTTTGTGAAATCATCGGGTACAAAATTATGCACAAACATACAATTAAATAAAACCATTAATAGCCCATGAAGTCTGGTATCTGAATATTTAAAATGTTCCACATATAAAAAATGTGATCCTGGACATTTTCCACCTTTTTGTCTTCTTATTGCATTTTGTATCTCAGATAATGTGATTACCTCAATATGAGCAGAAGGGGTATTCAATGCTGAAGTAACACGCGTCTTATTCGATTCGTTTTTGACACTATTGAGTAAATCTTCAAAATGATTTTTCCACATGTTGCATATATTATTTTGACCATGGTACCCATCAATGCAGATTGGTAGTTTATTGGAAGTTGTCTTAGTACTTTGTTTAACTTGCTTCCAGAATTCACGTTGGTCGACATTTTCAAAGTTTTGTGCTAGTGAGTCTGCTCTATGTTTTAATTCGTCATTCTTGCATGACATAAGGGCATACTTAAATTGTGCTCTTGTTTGGCGCATTCGGTTACTTAATTGTCCATGACGAGGTTTACCGTTATCACGCCACATTAAGTAAGCATTTCGTGTAAAGTCGTGTAGTTCTTTGACACAGTCATTCCATTGGATTTTCTGGTCAATTTATTACTGGATTTCGATAGAGCTTTTACTACATCAACGTATAGCTCATTTATCTGTTGCATATGTACCTGATTAGTGCATCCATGGTCATTACAGATGGCAGCACAACGTGGGATCTCAAGCTTGTTTAATGAAAGAGCAGATGTCTGAGTGTAATTCAGTTTTTCGTCAGAAGTAAGGTCTGACCAATTAATGTTGTATTTCAAGTTTGAGAGTTCATTGTGGCAAGAATCCAATCTAGGAAGTAAATCAGTCTTGATAGTCATTAATATGGGGCGATGGTCGGACCCTACTAGGGTGTGTATTATTCTCATATCACTTTTAGCAGAATGAGCAGATTGTGTAGAGACGCAATGATCCAACCAAGACACTGTATTGTGTGAATCACTGATGTAAGTAAAACCTTTTGTGTTGTCAAGTATTAGTTTTAAGTCCGATATGATATAACCATATTCGTCACAGAATAGGCGAAGTTCATGTCCAAAGGGAGTGGATTTTGAGCGTATTAGCATTCCAATCTCCAACTACATAAGCAGTTATTGTGTTAGCATTTTCTACAATAGAATTAATTTTGCCCAAATAATCTACAAATTCCCCAAAATTTTCCGCTATATCACATGGTAAATAGATATTGACAAAAAGCAGGGACGAGTCCCTTGTATTGATGGTAATACCTATTAATCTTGGATCATCGAAGTGTTGTACTTGTATAATACTTGCAAGAGTTCTACGGTATAGTACCCCGACACCTCCATAAGGTCTGCCTGTATGAATATCTTTAGAAGATTCTATAGCGATACCCCTGCTCCATAGAAATCGTCATGTACGGAGGAGAGGCAGTCTAACTCACTGTCGAGAAGCCACAATTCTTGTAAGAAGCAAATATCGGATATATCAGATAAATTTCTTACATTTTGTATATGTCTTATTAAAGAACGACAGTTGTAAAAAGGAATGCGTTAAGTGTCCATTATGTATGTTTGAGTCCAAATTGTGGATATCAACTCCGACTTTGATAGTAGTCTCTAACTAATGCATTTCTTGGCCACGCATCTACGTTCATCATCGCATTGTGCTTAGGGTTATCACATGTGATTTTGAAGCTGGCATATGTATTAAATTTCGTTTGAAGTTTCTCCACCTGGGTTGGTTTAACTCCAGAGTAAAGCTAAATATTTGAGGAAATGTCAGATTCCTTTGTTTTGGGAGCAAGTCTTGTCACGAATATGCATCTCTATCGCATTGGATACACTGTGCGCAATTTTGAGGACGCTGCCTTTCCTATGATAACACTACCTCGCCTTCTTGGAAACTGGTGTGTGTATTGGACGTTTGTAAACTTTTTCGGCCGTCGTTGATGCAGATTGGTGCGTGATGTTTTGCGTGGAAAAGCTGTCATACAGAGGTCATTGTTCCGCGTAGAACTTGCTACTCTAGCAAAAGTTTTACCGTTTTCCATGTCCTCGTCATGGGCGCTGGTGTCTTCTGACAATGCTACCATTTTTAATGCCGTTGTGCTTTGGTTTAATTCACCGTCATCTGATTTATTATTATCATGTATTTCTGTTGTTTTATCCCAGGATGCAAAGCAGGTCTTTGTTGCACTAACCCGAGTCTCGTTGCTGTTTGGGCCCGTGTATTGCATATCTTCGTGTGTGCTACTAGCAACGGTTCTTTCTGTTGAACGACTGGATTCAGAGACATTCTTCGTTGGCTTACATGGTTGACTAATCAGCTCATGATTTGTTGTACAGTAACCTCGTATTGCAGAGGAATTCTCGGTGAGTACAATGTTAGAATGAACTTTGTTCGAGTTAACCTGTGGTGGCAATGTATATAAACGCTGCATAGCACATAACATCTCCGCCTGGGCAGATTTAAGTATGTCCACTGATGGTCTCAAATTTTTTATGTCCTTCAATAAAACTGACATGTCCACATAATTGTTGTTGTTGTTGTTGTTGTTGTTGTTGTTGTTGTTGGGCTTAACGCCATTTTTCAGCACACGATAGGCTATTCATGGCGGCCAGTATTAATGGTGGAGGAAGAAACCGGGAAATCACCGGAAAGAACCACCGACCCACGAGAAGCTACTGGCAAGCTTTCTCACATATCCACATTCGCCGAATCCTAGACTCGAACCCACGCAGAGGTGAGATG